AGTTTCAGCAAGCTGGGTTTTGTCATCTGCATAACGCAGGTTGTTGATGACTCTTCCACCAATCCTGATGCCACATTACTCTTCATACAGCCCAACGTCTTGGATGATCTGTTCTGCATACAGATTGAAAAGGTATGAAGACAGAATACATCCCTGATGGACCCCCTTCTTAATTTTGAACCATGTAGTGTCTCCTTGCTCTGTTCTGATGACTGCCTCTTGGTCCAAGTATAGGTTTCGCATTAGCACAATCAAATGTTCTGATTTAAACTGAAGATGAAAACAAATCCACAAGAACCAAAATACAACCTTGAGTCTATCCCACTTGAATTAAAAATCATCTTAACAGGCTTGCAGCATTGATCACCAATGATCAAAGACCAGAGGACCTATAGCATGAAATAAAGAATTTCATCCATGAAGGGAACCAAAGATTATTACAAAGACAGGAGAAGTAAGAGTCCAGAATGATGTCAGAAGAAACTATGAAAATTATATTAGACAATCAAGAAGCAAAACCGACGAGATAGTTAAGTAGGAGAGATGAACAGAAGATTTCAAAGGGCAGCTTGAGAAGACAAAGCAAAGTATTATTAGGAAATGTGCAAAGATCTGGAATTCTTACCTATTCAAGGAAAGAACTTGGTTGGCACTTCTCCAGCAGAAAGAACTGAAAAATTCAAACCTGAGAGATGCCATAGTAAAAAATCTTTAAGGCTCCTGAAGCACTAGAAAAAAGATGGAAGGTATACACAGAATGACTGTAACAAAAAGATTGGTAAAAACTGAAAAATCTCAGGAAGTACCTACCATATGAACAAGAGGCAGTGGTAACAGAAGTGCAAGCTGCACTGAAGAGATTAGAAAAAATAAGCTCCATGGAGTAGATGGAATACCAATTGACACGTTTCAGTTAATAGAAGCAGCTCTGAATGTGGTTGCTGGTCTATGCCAAGAAATTTGGACAGCTGCCTGGCCAACTGATTGGAAGTGACAAATATTTTCTCCCATTCCCAAGAAAGCTGACTCAACAGAATGAGGAAATTACCAAACAATATCATTAATATCACATGCAAGTAAAATATTGAAGATTATTAAAAAAACCCAAAAAATAACCACAAAAACCCAACGCCTGGAACAGTATATTGACAGGGAACTGCCAGTTCAAGGAGAGTTTAAAAGAAGTCATGACACTCTGGATATTATTGCTGATATTAGATAGATTCTGGCTGAAAGAATACCAGAAGAATGTGTTTTATTGACTATGTAAAGGCATTTGACTGTGTGGATCACAACAAACTAGGGCTAACATTGAGAAGAATGGGAATCCTAGAACACTTAATTGTGCTCATACGAAATCTATACCCAGACCAAGAAGCTATTGTCTGAAAAGAACAAGGAAACACTGTATGGTTTCAAACTAGGAAGGGTATGCATCAGGGTTGTATTTTCTTCATAACCTCATCTTGATTGTATTGTACCATCAAGTTGGGACCTATGACCCATAGCTGATCCTCCTGCGGGTTTTCAGAGGCAGTAAATCACTCTGGAGTTGATTTCTCTCATCTTTCTTCTTCAGAGTGGCTGCTGGTGGATTCGAACCATGTGACTTCAGGCTGGCGGTGCAATTCCTTACTAGGCCATCAACCCAGCCTACTGAATGATCTGTTCTGCATATAGATCGAAAAGGTATGGAGACAGGAAGCATCCCTGACAACACTCCCTGATTTTGAACCATGCAGTGTTTCCTTGCTTTGCTCTGAAGACTGCTTCCTGGACCTCTTCTGGGCTTTATGAAGAGGAATGTGACATCAGGATTGAAGGAAGACTCATCAACAACCTACATTATGCAGGTAACACAACCTTGCTTGTTGAAACTGAGGACCTGAAGTGCTTGCTGCAGAAGGTCAAGGACTGTAGTCTTGAATACGGATTGAAGCACAAAATCAAGAAGACAAAGATTTTTGCCACTGAGCCATTTGGCAACACCATGATGGATGGAGAGGAGACTGAGATTGTTAACAGTTCCAGCTGGTTCAGCTCCACAATCAACACCTGGCACCAGCAGTTAGGCAATCAAAAGACGAAATGCAAAACAACTATGAGATATCATCTCACCCCAGTCAAAATAGCAAAATTTAACAGAACAGCAAGCAACAAATGCTGGCGAGGTTGTGGAGAAACTGGAACCCTGATTCACTGTTGTTGGGAGTGTAAAATGGTGCAACCCCTGTGGAAAGCAGTATGGCGCTTTCTCAAAAAGTTGCAAATAGAGATACCATTTGACCCAGCAATTCCACTACTGGGAATATACCCTGAAGAGACCATAGCTGACATCCAAGCAGATATATGCACACCCATGTTTACTGCAGCTTTGTTCACAATAGCAAGGAGTTGGAAACAACCTAAGTGCCCATCAACAAACGAATGGCTAGAGAAGCTGTGGTACATTCGCACAATGGAATACTATGCTGCATTAAAAAACAAGGAACTCATGCAATATTATTCAAAATGGTTGACTCTGGAGAACATTATGCTGAGTGAAATATCCCAGTCACAAAAGGACAAATATTACATGATGCCACTGTTGTAGAATGGGACTGTCCTTGGGGTTGGGGAGAGACTGAGTAAGATGGGTTCAGTAATGTATACTGCACTGAAACAGAGGAGGGAGAAAACTGTTTAAAAGAGATATATGACTAGGTATTTCTGTCATCACAGGAGTCTAGAGCGAGGGCTACATTGTGGAGGGGACCTGAGGGAGGGTTTGTAAAACAATGAAAGAATCTTTTCTTTTACTTTTCCATAATTTTTGACTCCTGTACTTATAACTTGTTAGTCAAATTTATGTCTTCTAGGTTGCAACACCCCCATGATACATCTTCAAGGATATGAACATGTACGGCCAAGCACAATCAATAAGAGTGCATCTAAATTCCAAAATCAATCTCCATAATAGTCTGTGTGTTTCCTACTGCCAAAGGGGCCCTTTAGAGTAGTGAGAGAAGATCTTCACCCTGAAACCCACAGCGTCCCTTTTCAGCAGGAAGTAGCTAAGAGAATAATACGCCATCCCCTTTTCCTTATGAATCAGGGAGGAGTGATAGGGAATGGCAAAGGACACACCGACAAAGGAGATTAATCAGAACTGACTTTGACAAGCACTGTGGCAATTGGACAATTAAAACAGACATTCGGATGGCGGGGAAGAACAAACTGGGGAGGAGGGTAGAGAGAATGGTGCAGCAGTGAAGGAATGAAAACCCAAAATCCCTGTAAATGTTCATTAAAACTAATAAAATTTAATTAAAAAAAAAGACGAAATGCGTTACATAAATCTGCTGTCAGGGACCTTTTCAGAGTACTGAGAAGCAATGATTCTAGTCTAGGGAGTAAGGTGCACCTGAACCAGGCTGTGGTCTTTGCAACTACTTGCTATGCATTAGAGAGCTGGACAATGACTAAACATAACAGAAGATGGAATCGGTACCTTTGAATTGTGATGCTGGAAAAGAGTCTTGAACATAAAATAGACTGCCAAGGAAACAAATAGGTCTGTCTTGAAAAGGGTGAAACCAAGTTTCTCCTTGGAAGCTAGGATTTTGAAGCTCTGTCTCACAAATTTTGGGCATGTGACCAGGAGGGACCGATCCTTGAAGAAGGACATCATGCTTGGAAGGCGGTAGGAGCAGCGCAGGAGAGGAAGACCCTGGATAAAATGGACTGAAACATTAACTAGGGCAATGCGGGTAGGTGTGTCAGAGTCAGACTGGCTCAGGACAGGGCAGGCTTCAGAGCTGTGGTACACAGGGTCGCTATGAGTCGCAGGCAACAAGAAGGCACATAATGATAACAGGCCATGAGCGCTCCCTAGATCTAGTGTACTGCGCTCACATACTTCGACGAAGCCAACTGTGGTAGGTGAGGGGTGCCATTTATGTAAGCCAACTGGAATACCTAATTCAGAAAGATAAAAGTTCTAATTTATAAAGCTGCCTATTTTACAACACCCCCCCCCAATCTCCACCTTAAATAAATAGCTCAATCCAAACCATTTTGGGGTCAGATACCTGAGGTCTCCAATGTCAGGCAGCCTCTGCCTTCTTCCACCCCCCAAAATCTTAGTAATGAAACATTTGCTTCTCCTGCCCAAGGGAGAAAGAGTTCTGACAGAGCACTCTGCTCGGGAGTCTGACACCTGTCCACGCAGCCATGACGTAAGAGGCTCGAATTCTTCGTCACGATGAAGACGCTGAACGCTAAACGCTACTCAAACAGCATGTCAAAGTCTGGCTGCCTAGCAGCACGTCACAAAGTTCAGATGTCTACTCCATCATGTAATGGGGATGGGACAGACGTAAAAGCCTGTCCCTCGCCCTTTAAGAACCAACCCTCTTTAAGCCTAATGGGGCAGCGAGCGAGTCGCGCGAGAGCCACCGGCTTCCGCCCGCTGCCTTCCCCCGGCTTTCCGGGCCGGAAGGGAAAGTGATACCTCCCGCCCCCTACGCTCGCTCACAGGGCAGCACGGCTCCAGCTGTGGCCAATCGAGGAGCGCACTGTAGGCCGCAGCGCAGAAAGCCAATGAAGAGTCGGGGTGCGCGCACAGCTTTTCCGCTCCGCACTCGCCGGCCCCCTCCCTTCCGCCTGCCTTCTTCCACTCCGCCCCTGGCGGAGGAAGTGATGTCACAGGCCCCATGTGAGGGGATTGCAACACATGCAGCTGCCTGGAGAGAGGGAGCCGGTGTCCTACGTCAGAGCCGCCGCCGCCGCGGAGCCGCCGCCGGGGAGGAGCAGCCGCTGCCGCCCAGGACTGGGCCCTTAGGTAAGCCAGGAGGAGGGACAAGCCGGCGACTAACCCGGAGGACCGTGCAGGGTGGGGAAAGGTGGACGGCTTCGGGTGGCGAGAAAGGGGGCCGCTCTGTCCTAGCGGCGGCGCTAACTCTGTGGTCTTGGTGTCTCCGGGCCCCGCCGGGCCGCTCTAGGGAGGAGGAGGCGAGAAGATGGCGGACGACCCCAGTGCTGCCGACAGGAACGTGGAGATCTGGAAGATCAAGAAGCTCATCAAAAGCTTGGAGGCGGCCCGCGGGTGAGCGCCGCGTCCGCCCCCCCGGTGTGCCCTCTTGGTTCCCAGACCCCTCAGGATGGCCACCCCCGTGCCGCATGGCCGGATGAGGGGCTTGAGGCACCAGTCAACTCCCGCCTTCTCAGTCTCTGGGTAGTAGCCCCCGACTCAGGAGCCAGGGTGTGCGCAGTCCTGTAAGAGTCCTTCCCTCGCTTAGGGGTGAAGGGCCGCGCTCCGCAGGCTCAGACTGCTCCACCCCCTCGTGGTAGTCCACCGCTACTTTTCTTCCCTCCTACACCCTGAAATCTTATCTCCTCCGTCTCAGGGCCCCGGGTGCTGCCACCCGACTTGGGCACTCTTGGGAAGGGCCGGGCCTTGCTTGCGAACGCCTTTTCCTGCTTTCCTCCCTTCACGTCCTCCTGCCAGGCTTCATTAAAATGGCCTCCCCTCCCGGACCAGAGTGGATGAAGTTAGGGCAGGAAGGAGAGGTGCTTAGAAACAGCCTCACTCCGGCGTCCCCACCATTTTCTGTCTTTATCTCCCCCAGGATGACTTACCGAAGTCCTGTAATTATCCTTGTGCTTCCTGGTGTTGGTCCTGCCAGGACCAGCCTATAAACTGGAAATGCCATCGCTGGAGTGGCAGGGAGAGGGGAGGTTTTGGTTGGTTTAGATATTTGTATTCAGAAGAAATCTTGATTGTGGGACTTTCCAGTATAAACTTGAACAATAAGGCCACTTGGGCTTGCTCTGAAATTTCTAGGGTACAACAGTAGAAGCCCGTGATGTTGTTAATAATTATATAAATTCATATCTGAATCAAGTGGGTTTTGAGTTACTTTTTATAAGGTTTGTAAGAAGTTATAGGTATGGGAATGGGAATAAAATAGTTCAATTAAAACTGGCCGTGTGTGGGGTTCCCCCCCCAATGTTCATCTCAAAATGTGTCAGAAGTATCTCTGTTGCCTCACTTAAAGTTTTGTTCTTTTCTAAGTTGTAGAAACTTTTTGCTTACAGGAAGTGTCCCCCAACCCCCCCCAAAAAATTCTTGGAACATTACAAATTCATAGGCCTGAAAGTCTGAACATTCTTAGAATAGCAGAATGGTTTGCCCCAGGCTGTGTGGAAATTGATTTCAGCACAAGAATTAGACTTTCTGTTTTCCGTTGCAGATTTGTTATTGACCACTGAATTTCCAATGAAAGAAAGATCACCATATGGATTGAGGTGTGTTTGATTGTGCTGAGGGCTCATCCTTAGTGGACTGGTACTGCCATGGTGTTTTGTTCAATAAATTTAGTGACTGCTTAGGAATGAGACGTCTTAAGTTTGTTTGGCCATGACTTGAATTTTGGTTCGTTTTCTTTAGTGTACTATAGATATAAATTAATGTAATGTGAAGGTAGCAACCAATTTTTTTATTCCTTAGGTTTATTTCTCCTTGAATTTAATAATCTAGTTAATAATATTACAGGAGCTTGAACACAGGTGGTTTTGTACAACATGGTAAAGTCAATTATTTTTGTCCAGGTTTGAGAACACTGTACAGGGATGCTAATATAGGTGATGACACATTATGATACACTGCCGGAAATTAGCCAAATTCTTTCGTTTCATTTGAGTTTTCTGGGTTTTTTTATTAGTATTTTTGTTGTTGCAGTTCTGCTTAAAGTTGGATGTGGCATGTAATTTTTTTCCTGCTAATTTGGAGGCAGTTTAAATGATAGTTTACTTCAGGTTCACATATTAGAATTGCATACATACTGTTCTCTGAGAGATAGAGAGCTAATAAACTTTGTTATCTAGGTGGAGTAATATTGAAGATAACACTGTTAAAAATATTACAGCGTTACTTTGTCTCTATATTACTTAAGAAACTTTTAAGCTCCTTATACCTCTTTGCTTAGCAAGATTTCTCCATCTAAAGCATACTAAAAGTAATGTTCTTAGGCATAACTTTTCTTCTGAATCAATCTTTCCCTAAACAAATAATGCACTTGATAATCATGCGCTACTTGTTCTTCACACCCCTGTGTTTTTAGTGGAGATTTAGTTGCATCTTGATCCCATGAAAATTTGAAATCTTGGCATAAAGTCTGGGGTTTCTTCTGTTTGACTCAGAAATTCCCCAGTATATACCATTTCTTATGCGACATAATTGTATTTTCAGTGCAATTTGAAGTATGACAGTATTTTATTTTGTCTAGAGAAGCATTTATAGGAGTCACAATTGCTGACATAGGGAACTTGGTGGGATTTTATTTGGTAGTCAGGATCCTAATTAAGCTTTAGAGTTGGAAGGAATGTTAAACTTTTCACCTACTGTTTCTGTGTGTAGTGATGCAAATAACTGGCTGCTTATTCTGTACTTAAGCCCTGCTTAAAGTTGGTTGTACGTCCCTGTTGCTGAGTACTGCTGGTATATTTTCCACAGTTGGCTTAATAAGAACAAATGTGTACATAAGCCAAAACTGGATATAGGGCCATAAGAGTGAAACTGGTTGTAGTTATTCTAAATAAGGAACTAAAGCAAGTATACATATGTTACCAAAGAAATGGGTAGGAAATGTGGGAGGAAGAATGGTATATGTATGGCTTTTGCCTAGATCCGTATAGGTGTGGTGTAATATTAGTTGGTTTTGTAAGGGAGTGGGATTGCCTGCCCTTTTGTCTGGGCCAAGAGGTAACCCCAGACACCATGCTGGGAGGTTTATAATTTGGGAATGATAAAATCATAACCAGAGGCTATTTTAGCCAAGGATGGTGATAAATGTGATGAAGGAACAGACAGGGTCAGTTGAGTAAGTTGTGTCTGCAGATACTTTTTCTAAAAAAGCTATTTCCACGCTGCAGATGGCCTTCTTTGCTCCAAAATAGGAATATACTAAAACTCTGCAAAATTCTTCTCATTCTTTTCAATTCAAGGTTAAAAGTTTTGAGATTTTTTTTTTTTGATGGGCCAATTTTTTTAATATTTTACATATAATATAGAAGATTTTGGTTTTTTGGTTTGAATGAGTTAACACTGCGTGTATTTAATACCTATCCAGAAAGAATTTTTTTGGCTAATGAATCAATTAGATAATTGATTTTTAAAGTTCTCTAGTGATGAATTACAGGTAATTTCATTTTTTACTTTAGTTCTCAATGTCTCTTCAGTGTTTCTTGTAACTAAAGTGATACTTTGTGGCCTTTCATACCATAGTTGAATTTTTCAAGATCACTGCTTGTATTTTTCTATTGGTTACACAGTTGAAAGATCTCAAAAGAGGAAAGTCAAGAAATCAGATATTGGGGAGCTCTGGTGGCCTAGTGGCAAGGAGCTGCAACTACAATCCCAGAGGCTCACGGTTCGAATCCACCAGATGCTCTGCCGGGGAAGGAGGGACAGTCTCCTCCTGTACCAGTCAGATCTGATTTGACGGTACACGCACAAAAAAATAATAAATGAAATTAAAAAAAAAAAAAGAAATCAAATATTTTTAATCACCCAAGAAGAGATGAAGATCAAACAAAACACTACTGAGGACAAGTTATTCTCTCCAGGCTTCACTGTCCACACTTGTAATTACCAACAGTCATGTTGGTAGAGTGGTCGTAGTTAAGTGAAATGATTTTAGGTGAAAATTCCTAATGCCATCTTTCTCATTATTTCCTTTTCTTTACACTAAAATTGATCCCTTTGAAACATCCTGTTAGAGAATTCTGTCATTAAGGGTTCAGGACAACAAGTACCAACAGCAAATCTGAATAGTGAAAAAAGGGAGAGCGAAATGAGAGGTCAGAGACGTGGTAAAGGGAAACATTCTCGCCTAAGTACTTGTCTCAGTTTAGAACTAGACCTGATACCTGCTGTGTTCTAGCATGGTGGTGTGTGGACTGTGAACCTAATGAACAGTCACTCTCTCTTTGAATTTCAAGTCTTGACAGACTTCTTGTTGTAATAGCAGGTATACTTACCCTTCAAGGTTTGCTCTGGACACACTCCCAGGTAAACGAGTACATCATTAGAAAACCATTTAGGACAGAGTGTTAGATTAGTTATAGGATACTCTCCCCAACATAGACACACAGGTCTGACCCTTAATTACAGAAGACCCTTTTTCTTTGAGCTTTGGGTAGATGGTATGCTCAGCACAGCCCCTAAGGTAAAATGATGTTTGGTTCTGAAAAACTTAAACTTTGCAGCAGGACTAAATGGTTTTAGGTCTTTTCTAAAGAGTGAGAAGGATAAGCTACTTTCTGTAAATTCAAAGCTGTTAACTGTTTTTAATGTAGTTGTTAGTTGTCATTGAATCAAACCCAGCTCATTGTGACAACATACTAAAACCTTGCCTGATCCTGTGTCATCCTCACAAGTTCCACTGAGCTTAAGTGTGTTGATGCAGTCACTTTGTCGTTCCATCTCACTGAATGTCCTTCTTTCTCACCTTTCCAAGCATGATGCCCTCTTCCAAGGACTGGTTCCTATTGATAACAGTCCTAAGTATGAGACAAAGTCGCACTGTATTAAATGAGAACATGACGTCAGAAGTTTTTTCTTTATCCACACTTTTCTCCAGACATTGTTGAATAGAGTACAACTTAATAGCAATCCAGTGAAAAACACATCCAAACTCTGATTAATTCTGCAGGAGCCTATAAATTCTTTGGTAGTCTACTGTGATTGTTGGGAAGAGGAAGTTGAAAGCTCTTCAGCAGGTTGGAAAGATCGTGAAAATATGAAGGTGTTTTTTGGTTTTTTTTTTATCGGGGTACTATCTTTGGAGAGCATGATGAACCTCACTTTGATAACATCTGTGACTTAATCCATTAAATGCATTTTAAAATCCTTACCTTTTGAGGAATTGAAAACTTCCTGTTGTTGTGTATTTTTTTTTTCTTACTTCGTGTTAGTAGCAAAACTCTCCAGCCTACGCCACCAGAGCTCCCTTTGTCTTGACTACTGTTGTGGCTACATGCCCATGGAGTTGACGGCAATTCACAGCGACTATAAACAGTTGACCTGGAACTTGCTCTATCCTT